TTGCACTTTTTTGAATTTCAATGACTTTACCCCGAGCTCATTTTTCAATATTTGCCGAATGGTATATTGCGATGTGCTCACCTCACGAGCCATTTTTCGGCCACTGCGATGCGGTTTCGATCAAGTCGCTTCTTTACTTTTCGAACCATTTCTGCTGATGTTGCTGTTTTCTTCCGTCCACTTCTTTGACGTCGGAAATAATTTTAACAGCTGTCGGACTAGTGGTTTGAAAATTACAGCAGCCTGAAGTTGGTTGCAGTTTTTTCATCTCACCCTGTATTTGTTGTTAACCAAGTTATGGCTTATTTGCTCAAAGAGTTTCCATCAAAATAGTTATTTTTCAATTTTTTTTTTTGTAATTTCTTGTTGCACACTTCCGCACACAGTGCACACTTCCAAAACAGATTTCATTTTCGTTGATGTTTCGGCTGACATTTCCTTTTCAAGCGTTAGTTTTTGTCGCCATAGTTGTTGTTTTTGTTGTTGCTGCTGCTGCTATTCTTGTTATTTACAGCTATTGATGTCGAGCTTTGTAGTATTGCATTAATTAATTATCCGATTTTTGTATCACAGCGACCGACACCCGTTGCCTTGCCGGGATGGTTGGATGGCTCACCGCCTGCCTGCTTGCCGCTGTTCGATGATTATCTTTTATAATAAAATAATTTCATTAATTATGTGTAATACGTAAATGTACCGGTTTTATTGCTGTAACAACAACTGTAACAACAATACCCCATCATCGACAGCTGTGTAGAACAACATTATTTGAAATAAAATATCACATCATTGGTATTGGCGTATTCATTCACTCTTTCATTCCAAAGACAGATCCGTTAATTATTGTCGGCAAGATACTACGTTAGAGTTTGAATTTTTGGTACACTCTCATATAACGGAATTTCCTAATATTATGGATATTGAGGATAAAATTTTTGGCCACAATGCAAGTTTTCATGATGATGGAGAGCAACAACTGTTTGGTCTGGTCATTTGACCTATTTTTACTGGCTTACAAAATATTTTTTAAAAGTCTATCGGCCAATCGATATTTTTTTCAAAGACTAATGGTCAAGAATTATGAAAAAAAAAAAAAAATAAAAAACCTTTTCAAGGGCTTTCTTTTTGTGAATTATGTTTTTTACAATATTTTCAAACTATTTTAAAAGTATTTGTTTGAGGAAGCCTCAAAAATCCCAAAATCAAAAAAAAAAAAAAAATTGAAAAACCTCCAACCTCAAATTGTGATGTTTTTAAAAATATTTTTCAAGAATATAGTTTTATATACTTCTAAGACTTTAAGAGGGATTTAATCGTAAAAACATTCTCACATTTTTTCATGGACTTTCAGACCGAAAAGCTTAGATTCTTTGTAAATCGTGTAGTTTTTCAACATATATTCCAGTGATAGGATTTTTAAGCGATATTTTTCAGGTGATTTTTAGTCCACGAACCGATGAGATTTAAGGGTATCTGACCAAGAAATATAATTTTTTAATGTATTTTCAGTGGTATTGGTACATCGTAATATTATTATCAAACTTTGATCGAGCTCGGAGATGGGCAATATCGGTCTACTCCTTCTGGTACCTCCCCCACAAAATGTCAACATTTTCAAAGAAAAAAGTTACTGCAAAGGGTCTAAATTTAGATTAATTTTAATTCATATAAAATGTGATGTAAGAGCCCGTTTTTTTTTATCAAATTACACACATCACAATGTTTTTATTAATCCACGGTCTGGCGTGAATATGGAATATATCGATCCATTCCTTCCGGTACTTTCCCCACAAAAGGTAAAAATTTTGAATATTCAAATTTTGAATACGAAATTAACAACCGATTCCATTCAGACTTGGCAAATCTTAATATTTCCATCAACACAAGATCTCTTATAAAGATGGTCCGATCTATACCATTTCTTCTGCTACTTCCCCCATATAGGGTTCCAAATATTTTTGCTAACGCAAGATCTGTTGTGAAGAAGATATATATCTGCCAACCACTTCTGGTACCTCACCCACAAAGAGTCGCTATTTCCAATACTTGGATCTGTCATAACGTGTGAAATAGATCGGCGATTCTTTACAACTTGCTTTAGCAACATATCTTTATTTTTTGTAAACAAGTCTCAGTCGATATTCCGACAGATATGTACCCTTAGTATTTGAATGTTATTATTATTAACAATGTTGACCAATTTGGAATAGTGGTACCAAAAGGAGTGAACCGGTATCCTATTAGGGGATGCGAAGATGAAACAAAAATTGAATACTACACATCTATTGAGAGTTAGTGGCATTCAAAATGTTTATTTTTTGGGGGGAGGTAGATGGAAGAGTCATTCGCCTAGTATTTCCCATGGTGGCTCCTTACAAAGGCATTTGCAGTGATTTCCCACGTTAAGAGACTTATTATTCAACTGGTAGGCCTTTTGTGGGGAAGGTACTAGAAGAAGTGGACCAATATAAGCCATTTTCGCACATAACCCAATTCTTATCATAGTTCTGTCATGAGGCAAGCTTAAACTATGTAGGGTACTTTCTGCGTTCTTTATGCGATTTTCCTTTATTTTCAAACTTTGGCTAGAGTCGATTGGTGTACCTAAAAATTGTCCATTTTCATTATTGCATTTAAATATTGGCAAAAATATCTCCGAAATATATATAAGTTTGGTCAAAATGGTTCAATGAACCAAATTTGGACAAATTTGGTTAATCCCTGCGAGGCTTATCGTGCGCAGAGGCAGACAGACGGACGAAGACAAGGACATGATCTCGCCCAAAGAAACCTAGTGTGATATGATATACAGTTTGTCACACAATCAATTTGTTTCTTAAGATTTCACTCTTCATAGCATTAAGACATCGGAAGACAGCTATGTAAAGTAGAGAAATTGCAATTCTTGCCTATATTCAAAGAGTGAAGTACTCTGAACTGTATTTAAAAAAGGGGCAAAAAAAAAACAAAAATAAAATATCTATAAATCCCCCATTTCGGTAGGGTCGGTTGTAAGGTAAAAAAGAAATTTTCAAGTCATATTATGTTAAATTAGGATTTAATTAAAAAAACAAAGACTAGAAGGGTTATCCTCTCAAACACAAAAGAAAGTTTAAATAAAACAAGTAAAAAAGTTGTAAGTTCGGCAGGCCAAACTTTGAATACCCTCTACCATTTGATACAAATTTGGCAATTTTCAAAAATATAAAATCCGTTAAAAATTCTGTTAAAATCTCAAAAATACCGAATGTAGCCGTATATTAGGGTCTTTTGTCACAAACTATTACAATATTCAAATGCGAAACTCAAAAAAAAATCTGTTTATAATGTAAATCATAAAAATACACAATTTAGGGAGGTACCATGGGGGTTATAAAACGTGGACCTGCACAGACAATTTTATGGTATAGGCTGTAGTATCCATTACGAACTTCAAATACAAAATTTGAAATAATTCCGGTAAATAATGTCGCTAAAATCATCAAAATACCGAATATCGGGCTATAAGAAGACGTGGACCTGCACAGACAATTGACTGTCATAGGCTGTAGCATTCATACGAACTTCACATGAGAAATTTGAAACAATTCAGGTAAATAATGTCGTTAAAATCATCAAAATACCCAATATCGGGGGGTACCGTTATATGGGGGCTATTCGAAGACGTGGACCTACATGACCTATTTTCTATTTTATGATGTAGTATCTATTACGAACTTCAAATACCAAATTTTAAAAAATTCTGGTAAATAATGTCGCTGAAATCATCAAAATACCGAATATCGGGGGGGTACCGTTACAGGGGGCTATACGAAGACGTGGACCTACATGACCCATTTTCTGTTTTATGCTGTAGTATCTATTACAAACTTCTAATACCAAATTTGAAACAATTCCGGTAAATAATGTCGCTAAAATCGTCAAAATACCGAATATCGGGAGGTACTGTTATATGGGGCTATTAGAAGACGTGGACCTAAATGGCTCATTTTCTGCCTTAGGATGTAGTATCCATTACGAACTTCAAATACCAAATTTGAAACAATTCCGGTAAATAATGTCGCTAAAATTATCAAAATACCGAATATCGGGAGGTACCGTTATATGGGGGCTATTCGAAGACGTGGACCTAAATGGCTCATTTTCTGCCTTAGGATGTAGTATCCATTACGAACTTCAAATACCAAATTTGAAACAATTCCGGTAAATAATGTCGCTAAAATCATCAAAATACCGAATATCGGGAGGTACCGTTATATGGGGGGTATACGAAGACGTGGACCTACATGGCCAATTTTCAATACCAAAAGTTCTGCAGACTTAATACGCATTTGAGTAAAATATTATCAACCTACTTCATTTCGTTTGAAAGCTAGAGTGATTTCCACAGACGGGTCAAAAATGTATATTTCGAGGTGTTACAAACGGAATGACAAACTTAATATACCCTCCATACTATGGTGGAGGGTATAAAAATATATTTTGTCAATAGCCATAATATTAGCTAGGTTCCGGTTGGCGATACTTTTATCTTTTTTTTTTTAAGAACACCATTTAAAAAAATTTTATATTTTTCCTTTTTTCTTTTCATATTATACTCTTATCATTCTCATCCTTATGAAATGTGGCGTAATCTAACATTATCCTCTTTAACTTTTTGAATAAGACGAAAGAAAAACAAACCACAACAACAGAAAAATACGGAAAAAAATACCCTAAGTATATTTATTGGCTTAATGGCATATCTATCTATCTATTGTCCACTTTAAGGTTATTTGTTCGAGCGTTGTTTGATGTTTGTTCACTTGAAAAAACATTGGCGAAGAAATCGAAAAAGAAAAACAAAATCTTATTGAGAATTGAGATAATAATTGGGGGGGGGGGGGGGGGGGGAATTGTTTTATTTTTTTGAGAAATTGAAATGTAAATATGCAATTGATGATAAATTGAAAACTTATCTCTGTTTCTCTCTCTCTCTCTCTTTCTTTGTTTCTTTTCAGATATAATTATTTACTTTTTGCATGTAAATAGTAAAATAAAAACGTACCACACACACACACATAGGCGGGGACCCCAAGTGAAGTCGTGGAGAGTCAACAATTGAATGGTAGAAAGGAATGAAGTTCTACCATAACTAAATTGATAAATAGCAGCCAAGACGACATACCTATCTACCTAACTACATATGGTAACGTTTTGTCCAAAATAAACAGAAACACAGCCAATAAGAAAAAGAAAAAAAAACAATTATTGTAAATAAACAGCGAAATAAACAAAAAAAAAATTGGAAAAAAAAGTCCCCAAGAACTAAGAAAAACCTGGTACCATATGCCGCCGCAATGGAAATCATTGGCATGCACAAGAAAATCATGTCGTTGTTGTTTTTGGTGATATTGAAAAATCAATGTAAACAACAATTTGATGATTAAAACGACAATGTCTCCTACTGATCGGAACAACAACACCAAGTGTATTAACGATCTTTGGCAGAGAAACCAACATCAAATAACCCGTATAGCGGCATTGTCATCGGCGGCAATGTCAATGTGGTTTATTCCTAACAATAACAAAAACAACAAGAATAAGAATACGAATACGATTACCAATACCACCGCAAACATTACCACCAATAACGCCAACAACAGGTCAACTTTATCATCAACCTCCGCGACGGCGTTTCACTGCAGTTTACCAGCGCCTTTGCTGTTCTCCTCATCAACGCTGTTGCTCTTCCTTTTGTTGTTGGTGTGTGCTGCCACGGATAGGTGGTGTTTGTAGATATCCAAACAACACCAAGAACACCAGAACACCCTAGCACACATTTCTAAACAAAAACAAAAGATAAACACAGAAAACGAACGCCAAGCTGGCGGGCGGGCGACCAGACCGGCAGTCCAACAGAGACTTCAATTGAAAATTTCGATTAAACACGGGGTGTTGGGTTTTTGCGTTCATTTCCTTACAAAACTCAAGCGTGTTAACAACACAAACCAAAAATTACGCTCTGAGCGAGTGAGCGAGCGTACATACGTTTTTCCGCGGAAAATCCAAAACAAGAAAAACAGAATCGAAATACATTTTTGAATGTTCAGGAAAAAATACAACAACAACAAAAATAAAACAAGAACAGGATTTGTTGCAGCTTTCAAGTGAAAGAGGAGATTTGCTGTTGGTGGTGCCAACCACACAGCTCCGTACCAAAGGAGGAGACAATTAAATGATGTCATGTTATCGGTTGGACAGCATCTACAACAACAGCAACAACAACAAGCAACAAACACAGCTGCTAATCAACAAGTAACAACAAAAACAACAACATAATCAACATTGCAATTTGGCAAACATTGGGGCTTAATAACAAGCAAGTGGCGCCCAACCTAAGAACTTTTGAAACCCCTTGCAATTTTGTGAAAAAGTGACGCCTATTAAAAACCAAGTGGCGCCCAACGTAAAAACTTTTGAAACCCCTTGCAATTTTGTGAAAAGAGTGACGTTCATTAAAAACCAAGTGGCGCCCAACGTGTAAAGTGAAGCCACCTTACAATTTTCAAAAAATTATTACATATTAAGAAGTGGCGCCCAACGTGTCAACTTTTGAAACCCCTTGCAATTTAACAGAAAAAGTTACGCCTATTAAAAACCAAGTGGCGCCCAACGTGTAAAGTGAAGCCACCTTACAATTTTCAAAAAATTTGGGCATATTAAGAAGTGGCGCCCAACGTGTGAACTTTTGAAACCCCTTGCAATTTGACAGAAAAAGTGACGCCCATTAAAAACCAAGTGGCGCCCATCGTGTAAGGCGAACTCCTCTTACAATTTTGCAAAACATCAGTGCTTATTAACCAACCAAGTGGCGCCCAACGTGCCAGCCAACAGCCAGCATCTAATCTAATGGAATATAATGATGGATATAAAAATGAACAACAATAGCTTTCAAAGCATTCGGAGTAGCAACAGCAGCAACTACATTAGCCCAACTACTAGCAGTGGTACGGGACATAAATCCCCACTCGAGAGACAGGATTTCAGGCAACAACCATACCAATGTCCAAAAAGACTTAACAAAAGCCGGGAAAAATTAACATCACACATCTCTGCCGAGCTCTCACCTCCATCAAGGCGATGTCCTTCTCCTCCCGCCCATCCTCCTCTCAAATTAGTAACATTAAATGAAATCTGTCCAAAAAATGGCTGTACATGTCAGTGTTTTCAGGGCGGCTTCTGTGAGCATGGCAGTTTTGTGGCCAGCGGCCAGGAAGTTGCAACTCGTATAGTCAGGAGGACAATGGGGAGAGATGGAGAACATGCGACAACATTAAACAGCGGGAAATGTGGCAATATAGAAGAAGAACAACAACAGAGTAGGAGAACATGTCCCACTCAGCAAAACCTGCAACACCCTGATGATGAAAAGCAGCAACAAGAGCCACAACGACTAGCAAAATATCGACTGAGTAACAGCAACTGGAACAGCAGCAGTAGTAGCAGGACAGCACCAAGCTTGAATAGTGGCTGTTACAACATTTCAAATACCACCACCAACAACAGCATTATTAGCCATAAACAAGAAGAAGACGAAGCAGTGGATTTCCATAAAACAACATCTGCAGCCAGTAGAGAGCCAGCGAATTGTTGGAGTTGGTGGTGTTGGTCAAACAGGGAAAGCAATTTGCCATTAAGGACCCTGGGATGCGGACAACAAGTAGGCCATATAACCACAACAGAAGGAGGAACAACAACATCATCATCGTCCTTACAATCTACAAAGCTTTATCCTGCTAAACAACAACAACATGGGCAGTCCAACAAAAGCCTTAAATGCAAAACAAAGTCACCCTCATCGACATCAGCATCGTCAACTCGGCCAAAATGCTTCTCATCATCGTCGTCCTCATCATCGTCATCATTGTCATCGATAACACAAGCCATGGCCGGCATCTACAACAACATTATTAGGCATTTTGGCCTACAGCTATGTTGTCTCCTGCTGTTACGGCTAACAATGATTACCAGTGCTGTGGCGGTTGGCATGGATGCGGCAAATGGAAATCTTACGGATTTGGGTAGTCCGGGTATGTAAAAATGTTTTTCCTTCTTCTTTTTCCTTTGACTTCACAAGATTTACAGCAACAACAACAACAACATTCCGAAAAAAAAAAAAAAAAACTAAAAACAAAAATAAACCTTAAATGAAAATGACATATTAACAACATAATCAAGTTGCGACTTAACCCCTTCTCTTGACCAAACGTCTTCCCACCCCCAAACATCCCCTCAAAGCAAAATCAAAATAATTCCCCAAATTCTCTAACCCCACCCTCATTTCTTTTACACACTCACATGGAAAATAAAGTTGTTTATGTTATGTGTGTTTGTGATTGTTTATATGTGTTGGTGTGTGGGGGTGTGAGTTTTGTTTATGTGGCCCCCCAACTGATTTCAGCAATTTTTCTAATATTATGTTTTGCCACTTCCTTTTTAACGGTTTTCTAGTTTCCTTTGGTCTTTGTTGGGTTTCGGTTGTTTGGCCGAAGGCCATAAAACTTCAGAGTGAGTTGTCAATATGTTAAAGGATTAAAGTAGGTGGTGGATGGATTAGTTTCTTTTGTATCAAGTTTTTGATTTTAGAACTAGTGTCTCGGTGAGGCAGATTTTGGATTCAATAATCTTCATAACTGAGATTTCAGGAATATCCAATTGCGGAACTAGAAAAAACAACCACAGAAAATTATCACCCCGAAGTATGGATCAGAGACCCTAGAACAAGAAAAACAACAATTTGAAAATATTGGGGCTTAAAAACGAGCAATTGGCGCCCAACATGTAAACTGAAAATATTTCATTGAAAAGGCAAAAAACATTTGATAGCTCGAATTATGGCTTCTAGACCCTCCATGATGTATACCGATACTCATATCTCAATGACAAAAATTTGAAATTATGGAGGCTTAATAACGAGCAAGTGGCGCTCAACTTGTGAACTGAAAATATTACACGGAAAAAACAAAAACCAAACGTTTTGACACCTCGATATATTGATCCTAGGTCCACCATTAAATATACCAATATCATAACTCGATGACAAAAATTTGAAAATATTGGGGCTTAATAACGAGTAAGTGGCGCCCAACGTGTGAACTGAAGGCATTGCATTGAAAAAGCAAAAACAAAACATTTTGACAACCGGAAACATGTGTTCTAGACCCACAATGAAGCATACCCAAATTCATATCTCGATGGTAAAAATTTGAGAATATTGGGGCTTAACAACGGGCAAGTGGCGCCCAACGTGTGATCTGCAAACATTGCAATGAAAAAGAAAAAAGAAAACATTTTGACACCTGGAAATATTGGTCCTAGATCCACCGACAATCATTTCTCGATTATGTGATTCGATATAGGTTTCCGCCCAACCATCCGTCTCTCCATGTAAATTTGTAATTAAACTAAACGTCGCAATTATGACCCGATCCTTGGGAAATTTTACACAAATTAAGAATTAGGACCAGAATTGAAGGCCATGAAATAATCGCAAAATAATTAGGGGTTAAAAAAGGGGTACCAAAAACAGATTTTTTTCCTGGTTTTGAAGTCGCTCTATTTGTCTTAATTTTCGACCAATCCATGCGGATTTTTGCGTGGTGTCCGAGAGTATATCAGGACAAAAGCCTATAATTTTTGAATGGTCATTGGTCATTATTAGCAAAACTACAGTTCATTAGAAATTGGAAAGTTTACTTCGAAAAATAATCGAAGGGTGCAAGTTCCAGACTCTTCCACATTTTTTTGAAATTTTCGAGTAAAGATTCCTTGGATTCCCTGCATTTTAGATATGTAGTGTCCTCGGCAATATTACTGATATTAATACGAGGATTATTTTTGTTTACAATTTTAATCCCCAAGCGGTTCAGAAAAGGGGTATTTTTGGTTCATTTCTAAAAATATCCCTAAAAATCCCTTAACACGTCAAAATATTTTACAAATTTATTTGTCATGAACTTCTAATAGTGGTCTCAGGATACATCGAAAGTCTAAATCTTATGAGAACAATAACCTTTAAAAACTCATTTTTGGATTAAAGCCGTACTTTTGTGTGAGTTTGTGCCTAAATCTCCAGCAAAGCATCATCAAAGGATGGCGTAAAAGGCAAAAATATTCTTAATCAAATTTTAATATAAGTCACCAAAGAGAAGAAATCTCTGTTGCCACTGTACATAAAAAAGTTTGCATCAATGTTCTTCAGAAAATCCCAAAAATATTCCCTAATGTTAGTGATACATTTTTCCTCGGACTGTTTTCGAGTTGACACCTTAAATTAACATCAAATTTCGTTTTAGCCACAAAGTGCCAAAGGAGGAAATATTTTACACTAAATTTCATTATAAATCTAAGAACAAATCATATATCTAGATTCAATAGTTTTTTAGAAAATTAACATCAATGTTCCAAAAAAAACCGAAAATATTTCCTATCTTTTTTAATAATTTTTCCTCGGATTTTTTTCGAATGGATGTAACATAAAATTTCGTTTTAGGCAGAAATGATTGATGATTGATTAAGGAAAGCAAGGGAAAATTATGAGTTGACATTTTTTACAATTAATTTAACGCGTTTCAATTCTAAGTCAAAATCTCCCTTAATATTTCACTTTTCGGGAAATAGATCAAAGGAAGAAAAATTCTAAATCAAATTTCATTATGAGTCTCTGAACAAACGAAACCTGTAAACTTAATATGTACGCTAAAAATAATATCAACAATTGTTGTTTTTAAAAACTTTTGTTGATAAATTAAACACTTTTCCCCCGAATTGTTCGGTATTTTCATGATTCTAGCGACATTATTCATCGGAATTATTTAAAATTTCGTATATAAAGTTCGGAACCGTTACTACAACCTGTGACAGAAATTACTTGTGCAGGACCACGTCTTCGTATAGCCCCCAAATAGCGGTTTTCATTCGAGCGGTATTTTTCGAGAGAATTTTGTTTGGAAATTTTTCAAGTTTCTTCCAAATGGTGGAGGGTATAAAAAGTTCGGCCCGGCCGAACTTAGCTGCTTTTTTACTTGTTATTATTTAAAAGTTCCTGGTTTATAGGAAAAATTGAGAGTTTTGATGAGTTCTAATATTTTATCACAAATAATTACATGTGCTGGGTTCCGGTTTAAAGGGAGTTTTGAACAATTTATTGGAAAAGGACCTAAAATCTCCCCTTTGCTTTGATATTGAGATATATCGTGGTATGTGTATTGGATCTATGTAACTACCTCTGAATGTCCCTCTCTCTATGTTTTCTTAACATAAGTATTTACAGGGCAGCGTAAAAATTCCTGGCCAATTCATCAACTTATTCTGTGTTCCCAATTCTATATTACCCATATAAAAATTCGAAATCATTAAAACTTTATAATATTTACATTTTAGCGAAAATCTCCACTTGAAAAAAAAACTCCCATTCAAATAAAAAAACATTAATGCAATTTGTTAATTTATAAAACCTTATTAATGTAAACATAAACAAGTCATTGAGTTTTTGTTGTGGATTATCAGTTTTTTATTATTTTTTCGAAAATTGCCTAGATTTTTCTCAATCAATCATTGAAGGGGGGGTTTCGAAAGAATAATGATCGAAATAACCTTCAACTTTTGTGTTCAAGCCCAAAACTGAAATTGAACAATGTTGAAATCAATATCGACGAAGCCAAACAACGAATACGACAGACGAACAAAACGAAAAAAAAAGAAAAAAAAAACAGCACACTAACAATAAAAGAAGGCAAACAAAAGCAGACAATAAAAATGTCATTGTTCTTTTTCTTGGAGTAAAGTGCTTGCCTGCCTGCCGCTGCTGCCCAACAGAGACTTTTTAAGACAACTTAATCTAAACTGAAAATCTTTGTTAATTTCCATTAAAGTTTTGTTATGCTATGACAGCTTTGTGGAATGAATATCGACCAAAGTAAGAAAAATGGAAAAATAATTAAGGTTAACGACAGCAAGACTTGGATGGAGGGCTGTGGTGAGGGGGCGAAGGCAGCACTGATTATGAGGCTGATGACAGCAAGGGCAAGGAAGAAGTTATGGCTGATGTCGGCAAAGGCCATAATGTTATGATTATATTGAGAAAAAAGAAAAGAAGAGAGAAGAAAAAAAGAAGGACAAAAAAGCGATTCACTTGTTCCCAATTCTTTTGGTCCTTCTTAATGCCCAAGGAGCATTTCAGCGGTGAAATGGATATATGACAAGGGTTGGCACAAGATTACAAAAATTACATAATCAAGTTTTGGGGGTTCTTTGGCAAACTTTATTAAAAAAAGTGTTTTAAGGATAACAATTCCTGAAATATTGGGTTAATTAAAAAAAATACATTTTTTATAACACAAAGGATATCCCGCAAATTGTGAACATTTTTATTTTGGTATTTTTGTTGCACACTAACCTACATAATTTTCAATAATATATTTATCCGTCGTACATATCCGTTGCTAATTGATCATTAATAATAATTTCGGTTTTGGAATTCAATGGGAATAACCCTATCTTTTGGATGCTCAAACATAGATGGATGCCGGCAAACGTTTATTGCCGGTCAAAATGTATCTTGAGGTTTCTTGTTTTTGTTTTTTGTTTTTTCAAACTCCTGTCATCATCCATCATTGTCACCATACTGTCAAGTCAATTGTTACACTATTCTCAGCGAATTAGATGAAATTCCCAAGGCTATATCGCATGCATATATATGGACAGCGTCATCATTCATCAGTTATGGTGGCTAATCATCTATCAATAATTTATGATAGCTTTTGCAAAGAAGACATTAACACAAAACTCAATTTAAATGTTTTCGGAATTGATTAAAGCTAAAATCTGTTAAAATTAACATTTTTAATTTAAAAAAAAAAATAAATAAATTTATTTTTTATGTAAATATATTTAATTTTTATTTTAACAGCTGTCCATCAAATTGGAGATTATAAATTAGGCTTTCGACATAGCTTTGAAGTAGCTGCGTATATGTTTCGATTTTTTTTCGGATTTGAAAAGGGACAAAATTTTACTTTTCATATTTATTTATTTATTTTATAAGTATGTGGTCAAATTTTGT